AGACTTTTTATTTTTTTTATTTTGAGGTTAAAGATCACATCCAAAATAAAGGATGGATCAATACCATCAAATTTAGCCAAAAATTACAATGCCTAATTATATTTTTTTTGTTGGATTTATGTCACACCAACACAGTTTAGGTCCAATGGCAACTTTCCAGCTTTACTGGTAGAAGAAGACCTCAGGTGCCCTTCTGCAGATATTGAAAATTCCACTCATCCACTTGTAATTACAAGTAGAATTTAAGACAACTTGATGCAGGATGAGTAGAAAAATGTTGCCTGCACATTGGATTTAGAAACTACTCTTCCTGCCGGACAAGTGGCTCTGAAAATATTTTTCAATACCTGCCTCTGTGCATTTTTTCAGGCACGAACAAGGATCTGAGTAGAACCACTAATGTTCAGTAAGCTGAGTTGGATAGGTTCCTGAAAGAGTTGGGATTTGAACCCAAAGCAATGAGGAGCAAGTGGTCGAATTAACGACCTTAACCACTCAGTGACGAAAGCCTGTCTAATTTTATTCTGTGTCATAAAAAACAAGTTCTATAATTATATAGATATGAATATACAAAAACTTAAATATATTTGGAGCTGACAACAATTGAAACCATCTACATACATGTACAATCTTGACAAATACAACAATGGAGTAGGTGGCTAAAGCGTTCCAACTAGTAATCTTGGGATTCCTGGCCTCATGGGTTCTAACCCTGTTAGGGGCAAGTCCTTGTTTCCATGAGCAAAAAAACTTTACACTCATTGCTTAGTACTGGTTGGTTCCAGAAACGTACACTCATTGCTTAGTACTGGTTGGTTCCAGAAACGGAGTCTTTCAATAAGCTTAAAGATTTCAAAACAATCGCACTATTAAAACAAATTTGTATAAACTAAAGGTGCGTTTAGAAAAGTCTCCAGTTGGTTAATGACAGATAATTATACATGTAATTCTAAAACAACATAAAAGACTCAATCATACAGACATATTGAGTTAGAACTTTCTCTTTAAAAGAAAAATATATATGGGAGAGAAATCTTGACCTGGTAATCCTTCAGAGTTTTTAAGAGTAATCTCACTTGAAATTTCAAACTGATCAAATTTCTTAAACTAAAACATAAAATATGTTTTTTTAGAAACCTCCAAAAATAAATTGTGACTGATAAAAAAAAACTATAAGAATGAAAGATTTTACAAATCAGTTATTATGTTATACAAACAGTGACACAAGCAAGAGATGAATTATAAATAATTCTATGAATTTGTTTTGTTATTGTTTTTTCAATAATTTTAACACATTTTTTTTTTGTCATATCTCAGCAGTCGGTCCATCATTCTGATTTTCCTGGATAACTAACCAGTAATCACCAGTATAAGCACAAGTGACCGGATCATTAATGATTAATCTCACATGATTTCTGAATCAGCGGTCTGAGACAAACAAAGAAAGAGACTCAATGTCCGAGACCAATTGTCAATGAGATATGTTGACTTGCCCCAGAATCAAACCAGTGACAACTGGATTACAAATCAGATTGTCATCTTAGTGCAGTAATGTGTTAAATCCTTCAAAATTCAATAGGAGTTGACCAGTTATAGCACTAAGGTGAAGAGAAATATCATACTGACTGGTCAAGAAATGATCAAGATAAAAACAGACAATAAAGTCAAAATCAGATTTTACCATTATTTCAGACATGGAGAGGACACCTGAGTAAAACCAAAGCTTATTACAAGTTCTTTGTGGAATAGCCATTTTCCAGTTAGAAGTAGTTCAAAATTGGTGAGCATTTAGCCATGGAGGCCCTAACAAAATGTCTAAAAAATTATACATTTTTTACAACTATACATAAAACAAGAAACTAGGTTAGGTTAATAAGGGGAGCAGTGGCCTAATGGTTAATTTGTCTGCCTCTCAACCTGTGGATCATAGGTTCGAGCCTTAATTGGGTCATTACCATGTTTCTTCATATAACACCAGTAGTGGTTGGCTCCAGAAACAGGGCTGGGAATCAAAACTGCGTTGTATCCTACAAAATGTAAACAAACGCCGCCATCTTGGAACGAAAAATGTAAGTTTTTGTTTATAACTATTTTTGTTGGAAATGACTGAAAACCAGATATATGTATTAACACGCTACACTATTTTCCGCTTCGTTCGGTATATGTTGCTTACACAACTATTTTGTAAAACAAAAGTTATAGCGAACTTGCAACTCGAAGCTGAGCAGAATTTTTATGAAATTGTGTGGATACGACGCAGTTCATATTGCTTTATCTACCGTTTCTCCTTCAAATCAATTATATACTCTTTTTCAGAGTTCACCATAAACTTCAAAACATAATTTTGCATCATTTACTAAATTTTCATTAAAAAGAGATGTTTATTTTCCAAGAAAATAATGATTTTTACGAAATGATATGACGCAGTTGAAAATAAAATATGATACGACGCAGTTGTATTTTCATTGCAGGCTGCATATTGGTTTTAAACTATTTAAATTATGTGCTAGGTATGCTAATAACGTCCAACAACATTTCTTGTTTACAACTTAAGTCAAAAGCAGAGGTCACTCATTGGTTCCATAAAAATGGAAATGTAATACAATTCTATTAAGGCTGAATTTTTCGGACGCATTTAAGTATCTATATATCATAAGCATCTACAAATTCCGAAAAGCTGTATCAAATGCAATATACATTGAAACACGTGATCGCACACCCATATAACAACGTGTTCCAGTGCTGCCTTAGCATGCTTCTAAAATTGTTCCAGTGAGTTCGAAATGGGAGTGATTACTATTTTTGATACAAAATTCAATATTCCAGTGTAACCTCTCCTGGACCCTGTACTAGTATTAATCAGGAATGACTTTTTTTTTTAAAAAAAAGAGAAAGAATTACAAAGAGGTCTCTTGCTATCGGAAGAGAGCTTTGCGCAAATTGCATGCCTACCTTTGTTACTTGTGATTAGCAATAATTTCTGTCAATTCCGTTATTACTTATGTCTTTTACGTGCCGATTTTATTGTATTCATTTTCTTAATAATCGGTGAGAACAGATGAGCTTTATTATTTGAAATTGAACATTAAAATTTTAAAATTAATTTATAAATGGTTAAGCTACAATATTTTTTGGAAGTAGGTTATGCGTTCCGTTTAGTCATTTTATGTTCAGCGCCGCGGAACTTTACCATTGCTTTTCTTTATCGCCGATGAGGAAAGGTCTACGGAATGTATTTTCTATATTTGCACTTAAGTATCATTCTTCTCCATTAAAAAACTTTAAATTTTCAAAATCGAGTTACATATGATACAACTACAGATTATTTTGTAAAGAAGGTGTCCGTTTTGCAAAGGTATTTTACGCTGTGCACCGATAAATTTAATACAGATATAGGCAGACATGATCTTTCCACAGTATTGAAGAAGTTTTCACAATATTGAACAGAAAATTAAGGTCAGATTATCGCATCAAATTTTCAACAGACTAGAGACATGGCATTCTTAACATATCTTCATACTAAAGTGTGATTTTTATTTTGATAATGAATTGCTTTGAAAACTTAAACAAAGGTTTTCAGAAAAATGACTTCACAGAGGATTACCCCCTGTTTACATTGAAAATTTTCTCTGCTATCATACCGAAATAAGAAATTTAAATGTTATTCTCTTTATAATTAATTTCAAATATTTATAATCTTAAAACTTCACGCCAGAAGTTAATAAAAAAAGCTGCTTATTTGTACAGCTGACGTTAACAAATTTTTGTTGAAAAAAACAATTCAGACAGGTGGAGACCGTGGCCGAGCTGTTTATGTTTACTGAATTCAAATCACTTGAACTGAACTGCTATGAATTCGAAAACACCAGGGACTTTTTATTCTTTCGTGTGGAAAACCTATCAAGCTAGTTTCAAAATGTCGATGGTTCTCTGCAGGTGCAACATTTTACCTGAGGTCCTCGCCCCTAGTAAAGCTAATGTGTAGAGTGAAAGTTTGAAAACAAACCACAAAAAAACAAAAAAGCAGTCATTACCCAGAACATGCAGAACCACAGTTAACTTAGAGCGTAGCTAGCCAGCATGAATTCAAGTTAATAGATTTCTATATTTTTTTGCGAAAAAAAATTAGGGATAATATTGAACATACAGGAAAATATTAGAAATTATTTCAGATATTATGATCAATTAGGTAACATGTTCATGTTTAACTGAAAAGTAGCTTCCGCAATGTAAACTTTCATATTAAATGTTAAATTGGACATGACACAATGTATTCTAAATAATCAAAAGCAATAGAACATTGCTATACACCGCAAATGATCTGGGTTTTTTCTATCTAGCGCAAGTGATTATTCCATAAATAGAAATATTTTGCCAAAATTATCCCTGTTGAAAAGACTGCTAAAAATACAACTGCGTCGTATCATATTTTATTTTCAACTGCGTCGTATCATTTCGTAAAAAAAATCATTATTTTCTAAGAAAAATAAACATCTCTTTTTAATAAATTTTAGTAAATGATGCAAAATTATATTTCGAAGTTTATGGTGAACTCTGAAACAAATATATAATTGATTTGAAGGAAAAAAACGATAGATAAAGCAATATGAACTGCGTTGTATCCCACACATTTTCATAAAAAATCTGCCCCGCTTCGAGACGCAAGTTCGCTATAACTTTTGTTTTACAAAATAGTTGTGCAAGCAACATTATTACCGAACGAAGCGGAAAATAGTTGTAGCGTGTTAATACATATATCTGGTTTTCAGTCATTTCCAACAAAAAAAGTTATAAACAAAAACATACGTTTTTTTTTCCAAGATGGCGGCGTTTGTTTACATTTTGTAGGATACGACGCAGTTTTGATTCCCAGCCCTGAGAAAGTGGACTCGAAAGTGATTAATATAAGTTGCAAGAACTTGTTCCACAATTGATCTTAGATAAATATGTTTAAACCCGAAACATAGAATTATAATATATAAACTGATAATTATACTCACTTTTGACTACTCCCCAAACAGATTTCCTGAATTTCACTTCACTTGTCACACGGAGCCTACACTTCTCTTTACTAACACGTGTTAAGCAGTATCTATTTATAACATAAAATGCGTCCGCATATGGAATTCCTAAAGGTGTACATTCAGCATCAATTAAGTACATTACACCAGGTTGGCTACTCTTGTAGCACATATGTTTTTCAACAGTGTTCGAGGACTTGGGTCCAAATGGAGCATTTATCGGTATGGTGTATTTGACCTCTCGCACACGACCTATATTCTCGTCAGGGTCATCTTTCCATGGTGTCACCATAACATCTGTGAAATACAGTATATGTTAAAGGCACATTATGCTTAAAATGAAATCAACATTTTTTAAAATTTCTTTAGAAATATCAAACACGTATTCAATAGTGTTTGAATAATGGATTCAGAGCAAGTAAGATGTTTAACAACTGAAGAAAGTAGCGCTGAACGTGCAGTAATGTGTCATATTACTCATAAAGGTAGCAAAATGTAAACAAAGTAGTTTTTTGACTTCCATACAAAATACTCACTATAATAATTATACTAATTGCCAACAGAGCTATAGTTGCAGGAAATAGTCCATGTATATGGCAAAAGAGTATTATTATTATTCAGGCATGTGCAATGAACATCATACAACTAAAGACTTTCCATACATTTTGACAGCTTACTCACATGAAAATAATATACATGTATTCCTATTGTAAGGTGAGCAGTAATAGGCAAAAGGATTTCAACTATTTAAAAAAAAATTTGGTCCTATCTTGGTATTTTTGACTTCCTTGTTACTTTGATAAATGCAAAACGGATGGTATTTTCTAACATACTTTCAATACACATATCATATTTATTTACCTGAATACTTTCTAGCCTTTTCCACAAACTGTCTGAAGAATTCCGAGTCGGTAAAGAGGAGCTCAAATAGTTTTTCCAGCGGTATTGTGTATACCTCGTTGTGTGCTAGTTTTGTGAAATGGTCGTGCTCTGTACATACAATCTCCCCTGTAGAATAGAATAATGCATTAATTCCTTATGGCATTATTATATTATTTCTTTATTCCATTACATTTGCTTTTCAACTACTCACTCTGTTTAGCCACAATTTAACAGCAGTGCTTAATTTTGAAATAAGTCACAAGTTAACTGCAGCGCTAGATTTTTATATGTTGATATTTCTTTAGCAAGAAGAAAAGCTCTTAGCACATATTAAGTTTGGTAAAACTTTGTTGGAATCTAAGTCACACTGTGACTTTCAAGTTTTACTGGTGGAGAACATCCTCAAGTACCCTTCTGTGGATTATTTCAGACATGATTGTGCCTCTGAATAGAATTACTGATCTTCTGAAAGCTAGATAGCCTTGCATGAAAGAATGCAAAATCCCTGAGAGAAGTCGAAACCATAACAGGGAGGTTAACTGATTTGAAATCAGTGACCTTAAACACTTGACCACAGGTTAAAGTTGCATGCCTCCAGATAAGCAAAAATACTCAAGAAAATCAAACTAGAGCAAAATGTATTAAGATTTTTAGAGAAGAAGGAAGATTCAAAAAATAATTTACATGTTATGTGCTATTAATGACTGATTTGGCAGTTTATATCATGAAATTAATTTCTACTTCAAGACTAATGAAGTAAGGGTTATTTCTGCATATTTTGACCTCTGTTTGGTAATTAACATGGATGTAAGTGCTGTTTGTAATGTGGGAATTACTGTTTTTCTTCCTTGCACAATATTTTACTTTTAAATACATTTGAGCCGCGTCATGACAAAACCAACATAGTGCCTTTGCGACCAGCATGGATGCAGACAAGCCTGTGCATCCGTGCAGTCTGATCAGGATCCATGTTGTTTGCTTACAAACCCTATAACAAGTAGAGAAACTGATAGCGAACAGCATAGATCCTGATCAGACTGCGCAGGCTGGTCTGGATCTATGCTGGTCACAAACCCATCGTGTTGGTTTTGTCATGGCACGGCTCATTTCAAAATTTTCATCACCTAGCCTTGACCTCCTTCAAAAATTTCACCACTAACAATACTAAAATCTTACCCTCACTAACATCATCCTCAGTAGTGTCACTATAATCTGTCGGGTCTTGATTATCTAGTGCTTGCCCTTTCAAAGGGACAGAATTTGAATCATCTAAACTGATATCTGCCTGAGTTGAGTCTCCTTCTTCATCTATATTATTCTGCATGCTTGAGGTAGGAAGCATCTCGGAGGAATCCCCCTGTAATCAGATAAAAGATTCTTTTCCAGAGAACTACCTATCACACCATGATTCTGTTCTAAACAGAATTTATATAACAGACTTTTTTCAGCTTTGAATTTCAAACAATCTTTGATAATTTCAAAGATTCTTTATAAGCCAACATTAGTTATTTCATCTCTAAGCCTGCAAGCGGCTACGTGATCTATCCATATGCCTTGATCATAGTCTTCATTGTTTAAGATTCAGTCCATACTTTAATAAAATATTCACTAAAAATAATTAACAGTTTAGTCCAGATTGAAAGATGAACAGTTTTTAGCCATTAAAACTTTTTCCAAAAGAATGCCATATAAAAGCTATGGATACTAAGTATTACTTTTTATCATTAAGTAACCTAAATTATCATTAACACTGCTTTAAAAACAATAATAACGTTTATTTTCCACTCATTCCGCATTATTCCTCATAACATGTCCAATACACTGGCAATATCCGGTATCCAAGCCCTCTATCACAAACTGTTATATCTTTATTTCTTTTGATAACATTTTATCATGGTAACCTTTCTATTAGCAACGTGCACTCACAATAATTAAGAATTACTAGAATAACTAGAATCTAATCAAATATTCATTATATTCCAATTCGGAACACTATGGTTTCCTTTGTTGTTTTTACAGCAGAATAAAAACGTGCATTTTTTTCTATATTAAGTAACTTAGTCAATATCATGGCTGGCAGGAACATCTGTTGACAGCGTTCTACCATAAGAATATAACAATATTCGCACATGTTTGTCAATCTATATCGTCTCAATAAATTCATAAAGTACCCACCTACATAGAATCAATGTCTTACACATGCTGTTCGAAATCCTTTCAATAATTTAACCCTTAACCTATGCTCAATTTCTACAATAGACTCTCCCCTCCTTTGAATTTGGACCAGTTCATTGCAGTTTAAGGGGTGTCAGTATAAACTCTTACCATGCTGAGACCGAAAGTGGTTAGGCCAGCCAGAATGTTTGTACAATTTAACCAGATTTTTAACTGTTGGAAGATTTATTAATTTTCATATATTACTGACATCCCTTGAACATTAAATGGACTGTTCCAAATTATAAAGCAGGACTAATCCATTTCATAAATTCAGCAGGTTTAAATGATAAAACTGCTAGAAATTTAACAATCAACAGTTGATATAGCACCTGGTCACACAGCAAATAATTTATGTGATGTCACTCCAGGTCAGGCTCTATACTGATGGCCCAACTAATGTTATTATCTCACCAAATAATCAATAATTTAAAGTAACTGTGTTACTATGGCAATGAAATGATAAGAAACTATATGATCTGCTAGTAGTGTCATTTCTTCTTCCTAAAGTAGTATTAATAATTTGATTGTGAATATGATACTGTATGGTAAATGTTCTCTCTTCATAACAAAGAAAAAAACCACTACCATACTGTATCACAAGTAGGTAACATTTATTAGATAAGAATAGAGAAGTAATTAAATTGGGTTGAAATAATATGTCAATAATTATATAAACTGATTATAAGGCAACTACCTTTGTAATAAAGTTCAGTATGATTCATTTTCCCAATAAACCTGTACAAGCGACCACGATTGGATAAATTTTACAAAATTTTAATGTTTTTTCCCCCCCAGCCTGTGAATTGTGAATTTACTAGATTTTAATGTCCCCCCCCCCCCCCCCGTCTTTTGTGATTTTACTAGATTTTAGCTGTTTCTTTTTCACTCTAATCAGTTGTGAATTACTAGATCTCCGTGTTTTTTTCGCCAGTTTGTTTGTGAATGTACTAGATTTTAGTGTTTTCCCCCCCAGTCTTTTGTGAATTTACTAGATTTTAGTGTTTTTCCCCCAACCTTTTGTGAATTTACTTGATTTTAGTGTTTTTCCCCCAATCTTTGTGAATTTACTAGATTTTAGTGTTTTTCCCCAGTTTTCTGTTTATGGCTCCTGACTGGCGCCCTTAGAATTGTGAAATTTAGTACCATAATTCCATTATTTGTCAATATAGTCTTATTCTATACAGTCATGTACTGATAAAATTTAGCTATTAAATGGAAATAATTTTTAAATTGTATGTTGGAAAATGCCTTAATTCATGATAAACACTTTACTTAAATGTCTTATAGTTTAATGTCTCGGTTTCTAATGTTTTTAAGTCAGACAATCTTGGTAATACAATACCATCACTGTGTGACAAATGTAAGTTTTCACTTAATCAATTGTGAACAATTCTTTTGGGCTTTGTGAACTTAATCAAACTGTTTTATTAAACAAAATATTGCTTATGAATTTGAAACTTTTCCTTAAGGTACTACAGTACTCTATCATTTACAACTACATGCAAATAGCATTTGCATATGCACTTTGATATTTAGACCACATGTCAATAAATGGACATATTTATGAAGGTAAAAAGTTATTGCTGCCAGATTTTAAATATTTACCACCTATTCATTTTTTCCTTAGATTGTTTTCCTGATAAAGGTACCTAAGCCGTATTTGATCTGACGGCAAAGATCACAGTGCCTGCTGGTTGCATGGGAAGATTAAGTTGCCACTTACAAGCCAAGGGCCGACTTCATCAATCCATCTGCAAATCATGACGAACCCCTGACCTAGCATGGACATAAACATGCTAATATGACCGTGAATATGAGAAGAACCACCAACCTGTTGTAACTTAGCGGGACAGTTCCCTTTCAATAAAATAATCTAATGTCCCTGGCAGGGTTCAAACCAATATCTGAGTCTTGGTAAATGTAATAAAAAGCGTGCTTGTATTATAATATTTCCTTAACAAGTTAAGTGTAATAGCAAACGTCATGACAACAGATGTCAGATTCTATTTTCAACACATGTACAAATATGACCAGACATTCAAGAAATCCATATTGTATTATACAAGTGTGGTTTGAATATGCTGTTTGAATGTGATGGGGATAATATAATAAAATGGTTAATACATGTATATTTTATCAATTGCTTTTTGGCATTCATGAATTGTAATAGTATGGATGACGCAAGAGCCTTACATTTCTTGTGATAACCTTAGCCAAGAAAAATCCACTTTTTACTCAATTACATGTTCCATATCAAGTTATAGACACATTATCTCCCTATTATGTGTAATGGTAATGTTACACTGAAAGCAAGCAACACGGTGGCATGTGATAAAACAATATCTGTAATACAATATCATGTACTTGATCTACTTCTGCCCACACCTACAAGTAGTTCAATAATTAACCATCCCACATTGACATTGGTCATACTGATCATTTACCAACACACATTTTCAACCATTGTTTTTTTAATCACTAGTTCACTCAAATGGGTAAAAAAAATCACTCAAATGGGTAAAACAATATTAGTTACCTCAAATGGGTAAACAAGTTCATTCAAATGGGTTAACAAGTTTACTCAAATGGGTAAACCAATAGTTCACTCAAATGGGTAAAACAATTTTAATCAAATGGGTAAAACAATATTAGCTAACTCAAATGGGTAAACAAGTTCACACAAATGGGTAAGACAAATCCACTCAAATGGGTATAACAAGGTCACTCAAATGGGTAAAATAAGACCACTCAAATGGGTAAACAAGTTCACTCAAATGGGTACAACAAAAGTTCACTCAAATGGGTAAAACAAGTTCACGGTCAAATGGGTAAAACATCAGACAAAACAAGTTTACTCAAATGGGTAAATTAAGCTCACTCAAATGGGTAAAACAAGTTCATGTAAAACAAGTTTACTCATATGGGTATAACAAGTTCACTCAAATAGTAAATAAAATTCACTCAAATGGGTAAATTTTTGTCATGAAACTTGGTACATTTAGGGAAACACAAGTCACAATAATAGCCAAATTATAAAAATTGATAATAATTGTAGATTTGTGCCCGTTGGAAAGGGCACAAGAACAAAAATTTACAAAGTAAACTTACATATAAATTAAATCTAATTTCTTCATATTTCCTAGCAAAGTACTGCTGCCCTTCAATATTCATATCTTTTACTTTTTTATATTTTTTTTATTCCAAACAAAAATCTGCTGTTTTATTACGTTTATTTGTTCGATTTTTATCAAAAAATCATTGCGAAATCTCATATGACAAGTGTCAATTACATTACATATAATCTCAATATGAGTTGAACGTATTACAAAATAAAGTAGGTCAATTTTATTTTAATCTAGTTTTCTTATCTAACTTTGTACTTATTAATTACAGTGAAACCTGTGGTTTGATCATCTTACAAAACTCGACAACCAGTCTATGTAGACCATTTTTATATACAATTTATCTTAAAGCAGCATGCCCAAAGACTTGTAGTTAATTTTTCTTAATGAAAAATGTCAGGGCCCTCAATCCAATTTGGGGGAAGCGGGTCGCTACCCTCAGCAGGGGGAATTTTAGTGTATGGGGGGAATTTTCCTCTTTTTTTACATGATCAAATAAACTTATTTAAATATCAGCTGTTTTTTTATTTACACGCATACTATTTTTTTAAAAATCCCAAATAGGTTACACTAAACTGTTCAGAAGTGATTGATAAGATTTGAAGAAAAGTTTTTTTAACACCTTACACCATCAGATCTTTATGCTGCTTAGCTTTCTTTATGATTCACCCCCCCCCCCCCCCCAAATAAAAAAATAAAAAATAAAATAAAAATAAGCATTGTGAAACACATTCAGACAAATGTCACCATTTCCACTAATATGAACAATACATGAACCTAAAGTAAATTCTATTCATAAACTACATTTTTAGTGTTCTAACACACCTTTTACTAAGACAAAGCTTCCTTTTCTTGACTTTGTAAAACATTCGTAGAAATCGGCATCGCGAAAATATGTGACAAATGAAAATTTGTTTGTTTTCTGTTTACACATCCACAATTCTAGTTGTTTCCGATGTAAATTATATAAAATTAAATTGATTGTTTATTATAAGATCGTTTTTCATCAGTTATTTAATAAAGTATCATGAAAACAAAACTTACAAGTTTGTAATTTACGGCAAAATTTACCGTGGTTGATGTAACATTTTGAAGACAAAAAAATGATTTCATGAATAAACAATTTGAAATCAAATTGTTGACGGGAATTGTGATTTTTTTCTGCATATTTCTGTTGAAATTTTAGCATTTTTACAGGATGAAAGGCCAATATGTGACGGTAGATTTTGAGGGAAAAAACAAACGGAAACGTGCAGACATGTACTGTACGATATTCCGCTTACAAAATAGACGTCAAATAGATTGATTTTAATTTTCAAAAACAACATTAGTTTTCATTTTTCTCTTTAACACTTTATATGTTTTGAGGGGGAATTTTTACCTCTGTTAGGGGGAAAAAAACATACTATTTTGGTGGGGGACTGCGGCCGAATATCGGCCGCAGATTTGGTTGATCGAGGGCCCTGAATGTGTATGTGTCACAAAGAGAAAAAAAAAATATTGCTTACAGAACAAATAAACTCTTTTTTAATAACCCTGAAGACATGTGTGAAATTTTGAAAAGAATTTCTTTTGTAGTTGTGAAGTTAATCTTGTAAGCTTAATTCTAACTAAATAAGTTTACAAAAAGATTATAATTCTGTCAAAATTAATGCCAAAATTAATGCCAGAGTAACTGAACCTTGAAAGTGATCTTCCAAAGACAAATGTGAAATTTTGAGTTGAATACCTCCAGTTGTGATGGGATTGATCTTTCCTATAAAAACTTGATAAAAAGTCCTTACTCTTGTCAAAATGAATTCTCAAGTTATGTACAGTAACTTACAATTAACATTAAAAAAAAATGTGAAGTTTTCAATAAAAACCTTCAGAAGTTGATAAGTTATGCAACAATGCACAAGTGAGTAGAAAAGCTTTGCTTTTTTTCAAATAATCATGCTAAAATAAAATTATTTTCATTTCTTTTTTGTTAGGTTTTACTATGCACCATCACAGTATAGTGCATATTGTGACCTGGTGAAGGAACCCCTTAAGTACCCTTCTGTGCATTATTTAAGACACACACAGGCACCCGAGTAGAACCAAGGATGTTCCGTAAGTTAGTTGAATAGCTTTCTCACATGAAAGAATCCAAAGTCTCTCAGGATTGAAACTCACAGCAGTGTAGGACAAATGGTTTGAAGTCAACAACCTTAACCACTTGGCCAAATATCCCCCTAAAAATTCTGTCATATCTTGCATGGCTGTATTTTTAATGAATAATTGCCATGGGTAAGGAACCAAATTCCATAAAGCTTTTATTTATTTCCCCGAGTCTAATATTTTACCTTGCTTATCAAGCTGACATCTTTACTGAGGGAATCCTTGGCCTCCCCTAGATTTGGAGGCTGTACATAGTCGTCATCACTGGAGGTCAAACCAAGTTCATCACCATAGCAATTGTGTACCCAATGCCATAACTCTTGGGGAACCATTGGCTGAAATTAATTTGAAATGAAATTTGTAATTCTTTCATATCAAGCAAAATGTTGTTTAGTAGGGTTGCTTTATATATATCATAAAATTATCATGTTCTTTGGTTGTATTACAAAACAGTATCATTAGTAAAAAATAAGTAGTCAACTGCAAATTCTATAATTTCCTTTAATATACCAACGTTTCAGCTGAACAGCCTTCTTCAGGGTACATAATAAACAATAAACAGGAAATTATGTCAGCGTCACATGAAGTCAATAGGGACGACGTCAAAACGTAACAAACAGTATCATGATTAACTCTGGCACTCTTTTTTCTGTTTATTCTAAAAGGGACATCAAGCCTCAGAAATTAATAAATTTGCATTTTATAGGGAAGGGGAAACAACTGTTTTACGTTAAGATTATGCTGTAATAATGGATTTCGAACATCCGTGATGTTTATCACCTGGAGAAAATAGTAATAATTTGTATAAAAGATAGCAAAATGTAAACTAAGTAGTATTTTGACTTCCAAACAAAATACTAAATCACTACCACTTGATCAGTGTATTTTTTGTCAAAACATAAATGAAGCAAAAGATGGCTTAGCTATATGCCAATGAGTAACTTTAAAGAAACTGTAACAAAACATCCAAAATAAAATGCTTTTCAAAAATAAAAGTGATAGAATCTTTTATGCTAAAAGGGCCTTTAATAATATCATACTGGCAAGATCTTGACTAGAACAAACTTTACATCTCAAAATGAGTATTTATACATCATTTCTCAGGCTTCAAGTAAAATTCAAACAGATAAAAAATGTTTATTGCCATGTATCAATACCATGGTACTGTAACACGAGGGCATGTGTATGGTTCATCCATGGATAGAGGATATCTGATCGTCTCTAATTTTGATGTATTGTCATTTAATGGATTGGAATATGCCAATGCTTTTCATTTATTTAAGTCAGTGACACTTTGCTACAATTAAGCTACCAGTAAACTAATGATCTGGCAAAAAAAAGCCTGTAGTAAATTTTCCATAAGCCAGTGATTTTGCAAGATAATGGGGCTCTACAAGACCATTGATATGAAATTTAATTACCATGTTCCATTCCCTGTCAATCAATATCTAAGATACATTTACTTTATTTTCTAAATTACCCTGTAAATAAAACATGACCAACAACAAGAGCTGTCGGTAGGACAGCTCTCTAACTATTCTCAATGCTTGATAATAAAACAAGAGCCTGGATAATGTAGACTATTTCTAAGTTCAACAAGAGCCACCGCCGGGCGGGGGCAACGCTCGACTTTTTACTTTTTCTAAATGCAAACATAGAAAGGTTTGAACATATATTGATGTTTCCTTTTTATAAATTTAGTTGGTCTGTCTTGTCACATTAGTTTTGTTAATATATTTTGTATATATATGAATAGAAACATTAAGCATATTTCTAAAAATAGCAACAGTACGCAATTTCTAAAAATAGCAACAATGACGCAATTTCTAAAAATAGCAACAATGACGCAATTTCTAAAAATAGAAAAAATGACGCAATTTCTAAAAATAGAAACAATGACGAAATTTCTAAAAATAGAAAAAAAATGACGCAATTTCTAAAAATAGAAACAATGACACAATTTCTAAAAATAGAAAAAATGACGCAATTACTAAAAATAGCAACAATGACGCAATTTCTAAAAATAGAAAAAATGACGCAATTTCTAAAAATAGAAAAAAATGACGCAATTACTAAAATTAGAAAAACATGACGCAATTTCTAAAAATAGAAAAAATGACGCAATTTCTAAAAATAGAAACAATGACGCAATTTCTAAAAATTGAACAAAAATGACGCAATTTCTAAAAATAGAAAAAAATGACGCAATTTCTAAAAATAGAAAAAAAGACGCAATTTCTAAAAATAGAAAAAAATGACGCAATTACTAAAATTAGAAAAACATGACGCAATTTCTAAAAATAGAAAAAATGACGCAATTTCTAAAAATAGAAAAAATGACGCAATTTCTAAAAATAGAACAAAAATGACGCAATTTCTAAAAATAGAAAAAAATGACGCAATTTCTAAAAATAGCAACAATGACGCAATTTCTAAAAATAGAAAAAAATGACGCAAATTCTAAAAATAGCAACAATGACGCAATTTCTAAAAATAGAAAAAATGACGCAATTTCTAAAAATAGAAAAATATGACGCAATTTCTAAAAATAGAACAAAAATGACGCAATTTCTAAAAATAGCAACAATGACACAATTTCTAAAAATAGAAAAAATGACGCAATTTCTAAAAATAGAAAAACATGACGCAATTTCTAAAAATAGAAAAAATGACGCAATTTCAAAAATAGAAACAATGACGCAATTTCTAAAAATTGAACAAAAATGACGCAATTTCTAAAAATAGAAAAAAATGACGCAAATTCTAAAAATAGCAACAATGACGCAATTTCTAAAAATAGAAAAAATGACGCAATTTCTAAAAATAGAAAAATATGACGCAATTTCTAAAAATAGAACAAAAATGACGCAATTTCTAAAAATAGCAACAATGACGCAATTTCTAAAAATAGAAAAAAATGACGCAAATTCTAAAAATAGCAACAATGACGCAAATTCTAAAAATAGAAAAAATGACGCAATTTCTAAAAATAGAAAAACATGACGCAATTATATACATGTATATATATGTATATATATAAATATATATATATATATATATATTTGATATATATATATATTTGATATATATATATATATCTATATATGTATATATATATATATATATATACATGCATATATATATACCTATACCTATATGTATATATATACACACACACATTTATATATATATATATATAATACATATACTATACATACACACACACCAATAAATGCACAATCTTAGAAAATTCAGTAATATAACCTTCAAGGTCAAGGTCATTAAAGAGCCCAAGCAAATTTGGGTTTGATAAACAACAAGGTCTGGTCCTTAAGAATGTTCTGTTATAATATGAAGTTTATCCCTTCAAAAATAGCAAAGTTACAGTCAGTTACTGCCAAAACAATGAAAATTTCAATAATTTGACCTTCAAAGGCAATGTCATTAATGAGTGAAGGTCAAGGTCTTTCGGTATATTTTTAACAGTTATCTTTGAAGATTATTATGTTCAAGTTTGAAGACAATCCATTCAAAAATAACAAAGTTACAGCCAATAATAGCCAAAAAAATGAAAATTTCAATAATTTGACCTTCAAAGTCAAGGTCATTGATGAGTGAATGTCAAGGTCTGACTGGTTATTTTTAAGGGATATCCTTGAAGATTATTATGTTCAAGTTTGAAGACAATCCATTCAAAAATAACAAAGTAACAGCCAATAACAGCATGAACAAGCAAAAATTGGACTTTTAACCTTGAAGGTCAAGGTCATTTATGGATGAAGGTCAAGGTTAGTGTGGTCTACTGAAAGGTCTTGTCCCAAGGGTTGTTGTGGCCAAGTATGAAGACAATACACCAAGAAATAAAAAAGTTATGATCCAGGTACAAGTTTTCGGACGGCAACAGCAACGGCAACGGAGACGGCAACAGCAACGCCGACCTGACTATAACAAAAAAAAAAAAGCCGAGCTAAAAAGGGCTACAATTCTGTCAAAATAAATGTAGAGTTATGTACCTTGGACAGTGACCTCCTATTATGTTCTCTTATAAATGCTTGATGTTTTAACCAATTTTCTTCAGTAGTTTTGGACATACAAATTTGCATGCAAAAACTTAACCGTAGTGGGACGCAAATGCCAACTCCTGAGTGAGTACAATTGTTTTCCCTATTCCTCTAACAGTCAAGCTAATAAATAACTTAAAACAAATTCAGTAGGTCATGAATTAAGATAACTAGACTGGTTTAAGATAACTTACCTGCTCCATAAGTGCATTCTGCCACAGTCTAAACAGCATCATGAAAGTCTTATCTCTAGCTGTGAATGATGTAAAGAAATATTTCTCCTTGTCGGTGCTAATCTGTACGGCATTGGGGATAACTCTTGCAGTCTTCTCCTTCGTTATTGCTAATATATCTTTGGTTGGTATAGTTACCTAGATATACAGGAAAACATGATTAAATAATCTTGTCTCTAACTTTGTTTAATTCATATAATGACCTTGCTCATTGTTAAATATGGTACAATCCATTAGTGGAATAAGGGATTTCAGTACAAAGATTATAAAATTATCAGGCAAATAAAACAAAGCACATACAATGGAAAAACCAGCTTTTAAAGATTGTCAGACCCAAAAATATAACCCTTTTTTATTTATATCGATACTATAAACCACATTTGGCTCATAAATGTTTACTTTTCAATACCAGCTATACATCAAATTTGCAACTGAGCGTGTTTCAATATAAACATTTTGTTGGATGAAAGTCAACAATTGTTTATGCAACTTTCATCATTTATTAGTTAAATGGTATAAAGCGTAACATACGCCATTCACTCGAAAGGAAATATACCATTATATTTCATTTATATAGGCATTTTGGAATTATTGTTTTTTCAAAAATCAAACAAACAAGAATTTTGTTAACTACAAACAGCAGAGATATAGCTTTATATACTTTGTCTTAAAATTAAGAGTTGGCAGAGAAAAAAAAATTGGGGGTGGGAGGGGGGGGGGGGGAGAGAGGTGAAATCTGAGAAACAGTATATATTTGCTTAAGCTAATGGATATGTCTTTTTTGGCCAAACAATATACTAAACTATCATAATAAATCAACTTTTCTTCTTCATTTTTATAATTCAATATCATTACCTTCATCACACACTTCATGAAATAAGATACTGACAGTAATGTAATAGTAAATCTATGATAGAAATATATCAACTAATCAAATAAGTGCATCCTTTATTACACTGTATCCTTCAAGGAAATATGGTAACATTTCTCTACAGCAAAGTCCTGTGGGACATATAAGAAGATTTACATGGGAACATGAGAAAATGTAGCATACACATAGCAAAGCTAATGTTCACATAAGACTAGCTATAAATTATTTGATTTGTCTGAATAGGGTTAAGCTTTATTGCGGAGTAAGCTTTCAGTTTATTTATGCTCATTTCAAGGAACTAACAAGTAATGGAGGCATATGTTGTGGTGTTTATTGAAAATTACCTTCCAGATCAACATATAGTTGACTCTGAACTCACCAGAATTCAGCGACTGCATCATTTCTGTGCAGGCTCACTGTCTAGCAGTTTATCAATACTAGTACCTTTATTAATGCAAGGAACTGATATTACTTCTGCACATGCCAGAGCAGAGGTGTAGAACTAATGATCGTAAATCAGTCTCAATGAAGTGACCTACAGATTCATAATTCAATATGCAGAAACATAGACATGACTGCAGAGGAGTTCAAACCCTTGATCCCTGGCTTGACAGGCAATTTACTTTGACCACGAAACTGACATTCCATAAACTTAAGCTGCAGGCAGCCAATGTTTCTACCCATGAGACCAGAGCAAATCAAGATAAGCTGCCCATCATTGCTGTTTGATCATGGTCTTCACTGTTCGCTATTTAATCAGTCAAATGTTCTGAAAATTTCCCTTATAAATATGAATGGATATGTCCATACTGAAAGATGGACCAAGTCCATTTAAGATAGTGAGGTAAGGTAGGGTTAAATAGTCAAAGTCGGAATCTGTATCTCAGTGTCCAGGTTTAATACAGATGCAGATGGCAAAAAAGAAACTGGTTAACATATCTAGGTCTTATTCAGTAAAAGTTATACAACCATATTACGATGTTTTTAACAGAATATTTAATTTTTTGCAGCGAAATGTTGCTGTCTATTAAAAACCAATTGTCTGTAACAGTAACAGCCTTTTTATGCTGATGTGGAAACAATGGTTGCTTTCAACATAATAGTTTAACAAATCATTCATCAGATAGCCAGTCAATATATAACAATAGACGGCTATTCATGTAAATGCATGTTGTACAAGCTGTTACATCTCAAAGACGTCACTCTCGATGACTTTAGTATGGTTAATATCTTTATACAACTATTTAAAAGGCTTATCTTAAATAACCTAATGATATAATGCCATTTTTATATCTAAACCTGTTTAAGAGTTATACCCTACCACATTTGTGTGACAGAACTTTTATAGCTTTGATAGTGGAGTGGTGGTGGTGGTGTTGGTAGTTTACCCTCTGGATCACCACAGTAAGCCACTTTGAATTTACCAGATCACAGTTCAGCATCTGTCAAGCAGGTAACCAGTACTAGATGCTTTCATTTTCTCAAAGAACTGATAACTTCAGGACATTCCAGAGCAGAGGTACATTGCAAATGACCGAAGAAAGGATTTCATGATTCATCACAATGATAGTGACCTGCAATGTCCAGGAATCGACTCTGGGTCACCCAATTCATAGTCAAATGCTCTAACTATTGAACTAACCAGACGGTTCCTTTGAAAATGGGATTGCAATACGTTAGTTTTAAGAGGATTTCAGTACCAAAAATACTATATATTTAAATATGAAAAGAAAGATCAATAGGGGAAAATGACATACTCATTTGCTGAATGAAGCCCCGACTATACCCAGCTACACAGGAGTCCAAGTAAGGCACCAAGAGGGGCAGGCAACAAATAAAATCAGGGGACGGCACAATGGCAGTGCCAAAAGGGGGCACACCAACTAAAGTTTATAACACAGAGTCTAGTCATTATGCACATTTTACATATACATGACTGTTTCAATCAAAGCTAACTGTAGATGAAATAACATCAATTCAATCACATGAATTATTGCAATCTAAAATTCTCCAATATTAACAGATATATTGAAGATTAATTGATTCAGCTTTTCTTTTCATTTATTTTCATTTCATTTATCAATAATATATCAACTTTTAACACTTGCATACAGAATGATGTAACAAAGCGTTTTACAATAAAATCTATGTAAAAAATCTTAATGTTTACAACTTGCACACATTGTGTATTGTTGTACAACTCAAGAAGTTTGTAAGAATGCCACTGCCACCAGTGGGGACTTTCACCTTTGACCTGTGACCAGTGAGTCATAAGGTGGTATTAATCAAGGAGGTGCATACAGATCTGTTAAGACTTGATACTGTCATTGAAATAATTTTTGTGTTAATGTCAAAGTTTTATGACAGACAGAACAAAAACAATGCTCTCCTGATCTATTGGTCCAGGAAAATGAATGAATATCTTAGGACAATGAAAGAAATCTTACAATAGTTTCCCATCTGAAGATGTTGGCATAGAAACAGATCCAGTTCTGGGTAACAAACATTCTACCATGGACTAGAATCTCTTTCTGCAAAGCACATGAGTAATCTGAAATACAAGAATGAAAATCTTCATAATGACATTAATCATTTCAGCCTGATTATCTGAATAATCTGAAATATAAGGATGAAATTCTTCATAATGACATTAATCATTTCAGCCTGATTATCTGAATAATCTGAAATATAAGGATGAAATTCTTCATAATGACATTAATCATTTCAGCCTGATTATCTGAATAATCTGAAATACAAGGATGAAAATCTTCATAATGACATTAATCATTTCAGCCTGATTATCTGAATAATCTGAAATACAAGGATGAAAATCTTCATAATGACATTAATCATTTCAGCCTGATTATCTGAATAATCTGAAATACAAGGATGAAATTCTTCATAATGACATTAATCATTTCAGCCTGATTATCTGAATAATCTGAAATATAAGGATGAAATTCTTCATAATGACATTAATCATTTCAGCCTGATTATCTGAATAATCTGAAATACAAGGATGAAAATCTTCATAATGACATTAATCATTTCAGCCTGATTATCTGAATAATCTGAAATATAAGGATGAAATTCTTCATAATGACATTAATCATTTCAGCCTGATTATCTGAATAATCTGAAATATAAGGATGAAATTCTTCATAATGACATTAATCATTTCAGCCTGATTATCTGAATAATCTGAAATACAAGGATGAAAATCTTCATAATGACATTAATCATTTCAGCCTGATTATCTGAATAATCTGAAATACAAGGATGAAAATCTTCATAATGACATTAATCATTTCAGCCTGATTATCTGAATAATCTGAAATACAAGGATGAAAATCTTCATAATGACATTAATCATTTCAGCCTGATTATCTGAATAATCTGAAATATAAGGATGAAATTCTTCATAATGACATTAATCATTTCAGCCTGATTATCTGAATAATCTGAAATATAAGGATGAAATTCTTCATAATGACATTAATCATTTCAGCCTGATTATCTGAATAATCTGAAATACAAGGATGAAAATCTTCATAATGACATTAATCATTTCAGCCTGATTATCTGAATAATCTGAAATACAAGGATGAAAATCTTCATAATGACATTAATCATTTCAGCCTGAGTATCTTAATAATCTGAAATACAAGGATGAAAATCTTCGTAATTACAATAATCATATCAGTCTAATTATCTGAATAATCTGAAATATAAGGATGAAACTCTTCATAAAATTTGTCATATCAGTCTGATAATCTTTTTCTTGAAAATTTTATACAAATTATTACATGGTGTACATTTAACTTTTTAACCTTAAATTTAAGAAAACAAAACACAACAATACAGAGTAAACTAGAAATGTGTCCATAGGACACGGATGCCCCCACACGCCACTGTTCTGTCAATCTTATGACTCTAGGTCAAATATTTTTTGGACTACATGTGCCACAAGTTGAAAACTAAAAATCAACAAAGGGCCATAATTCTGTTAAATTTGGTCGCAGCAAAAATTCCTTCCTTTACTACCATCTACACATTAAGGTTGTTAATCCCTGGAAGTTTAAGCAAAATCTGCCATCCGGTTTAAGAGGAGTTGCATTCACAAAATTTCAACATAGTATATAATGAAAAAATCAAAAAAGGGCCATAATTCTGTTAAATTTTGTTGCAGCAAAAATTCCTTTCTTTATTACCATCTACACATTAAGGTTGTTCATTCCTGGAAGTTTAAGCAAAATCTGCTATTCGGTTTAAGAGGAGTTGCATTCACAAAATTTCTACATAGTATATAGTGAAAAAATCAACAAAGGGCCATAAATCTGTAAAATTTGGTTGCAGCAAAAATTCCTTCCTTTACTACCATCTACACCTGAAGGTTGTTCATCCCTGTAAATTTAAGCAAAATCTGCCATCCGGTTTAAGAGGAGTTGCGTTCACAAAATTTCTACATAGTATATAGTGAAAAAATCAACAAAGGGCCATAATTCTGTTAAATTTGGTCGCAGCAAAAAATCCTTCCTTTACTGCCATCTACACATAAAGGTTGTTCATCCCTGTAAGTTTAAGCAAATTCTGCCATCCAGTTTAAGAGGAGTTGCGTTCACAAATTTCTACATAGTATCTAGTGAAAAAATCAACAAAGGGCCATAATTCTGTTAAATTTGGTTGCAGCAAAAATTCCTTCCTTTACTACCATCTACACATTAAGGTTGTTCATCCCTGTAAGTTTAAGCAAAATCTGCCATCCGGTTTAAGAGGAGTTGCGTTCACAAGATTTCGGGACGGACGGACTGATGGACTGACGGACGGACGGACAAGTGCAACGCTATATGCTCCCACATTGTGGGGGCATAAAAACTTTTATACAAATAACCAATACACTTATGTCTTCAAATTAATTTATTTTTATCTTTAAATGACTAAAATTGCATAAATTGTACTCTTTACTTTTAAACTACCAATCTTTACCTCTACCCTACTGGAATTATGATTATTAGCCTTTGCCACCAGTATAGACCCCTTTGCAGCTGATGGTTTGGTTTTAAGGGCTGTGGCATCAGAATTTTAGCCTCTATTAAGTCCTGCGTGATCGTAAGAAATGAGAAATGACTAAATGGGTTTGACTTAACTGGAGTCTATGCACCTCTTAGCTCCAGCAGGAGAGGTGGTTTTGATCCCTAGTGTTGCTTGAAGTTTGTGACACCAGAGGTTAGCATAAATCATCTTTTCAGTCCTATATGACTTTAATTGTGTTGGTGCTCCATAAAACCAAACAAAACCATTATAGAGCCTGGTCAGCCAGCAAATTCATGCACCCTCATTCGGACCAGGCTGTTTACTGTTAGTAGCTCAATTCTTGTATTTTGTATAAAGTATACAAGTATAATTTGCAAAATAATTTCAATATAGATGAAGCGTCGGCTTTATCTACAATACTGTCTACACATAACTTACCACAAATAAGTCTTTCATCTGCAGGTATTTCTTTAAATTGTCTCTTAAAATCTTCACTGCGAGACTTGTAAGTTGGACTCAATATCTGTTACAATATACAAACATATATCAAAGTTTACGAATCATATAATTTTGCATCAACCATTTGAGGGCTTGCAGCAATAATAAAATATTTAAGCTACCAGTATAGAGGCAGGCATACATGCATATCCAGGCATGACTAGCAGAAATCCATAATATTATACTTTTATTACATGCTTTTCAGTGGTTTATAGAAATATATCAGTGATATAAAACTGGTAATTTCACTGTTTGAAACAGTGAAATTACCACTTTGATAATTTCACTGTTTTGAATTTAAGCCCCTTACGTTATTTCAGTGAAATACCAGCGTTCACAGTACTGGGTACCAACTTAATGACGTGACGTCGCAAATGACGTCACGTTGTATTATTATTTGGAGCGCTTTTCATTCAGTATTAGGTTTAATGTCCTTTTAAAACGTTTATTTGCATGTAATAAAAAGAAAATTTGTTTAGTTTAGTGTGAGATCGAAATATATTTCACCTTGTGAACACCAAAAGTTCATATTTGACTCGTGGCTGCGCCACTCGTGAAATATACCTTTTGGTGCTCACTCGGTGAAATATATTCCGATCTTACACTGAACTAAACAAATATCCTCTATATATTAAACAAATGATTGATGATTGTATTGCAACCAGTTTATATCTTGGTACAAATATTTTGATATTAAAAACCCTCAAAATACAAATAAACTGTTCAACTGTTCAAAATCTAAAGCGAAGCACGGCAGAATGCACTTGATTATATGCGCTTATTCATGCATGTCTGAAATAGGAATATTGCAGCCATATTTTTTTTTTTAATTGGGGGGGGGGGGGGAAGGGAGCGCAACAGGGGTTCAGGGGGATACTGCCCCTGATATGAAGCAGATACGCAATGAAATGATAAACAAAACTGAGGTGTGCAAGTTACAGGAATTTCCGGTCTACTTCTATGAACTGGTAAAGACTGAAGTGCACATTATTAGTAAGTCCATTATTTAGATTCAGCAGGAAAATTATATTTAAAACTTATATCTCTAAAATTAATCTATTATCCTGTTTTTGCTTCTCATACAAATTTATATACATTGATTTTACAGAAAACTGATATCAAAGAGGTTTACATATTGCTTTATATTTTGATATATAATTATATATATGACAGAAACATCTGTTTGTTTGTCACTCATCGATATTTTACACAAAATATTGTCATAAACAATGCTGAAGAAACATCTGTGGTTGTGTTGGAAATGTCATAAACTTTATATCACTTACTCATAAAAACTTTAGGTTCAAATCCCATTAGGGACTTTCTTATGAAAGGAAGATTTCCGGCCAGATTAGAGGTGGCTGGCAGTTTAAATCTACTCATGCTCATGACTGAAATAATGCACGTAGGGGCCTCACAAGCTAATTTATGCGTATGACCTTTACAGTGTCAGAATGGCTAAAAGCACCACCAAAATTATAAAAAAACCATAATACACAATGTAATAACAAAACTTTTGTTGAAGAATTGAACCAGATTATTATTATATCACAAAGTTCAAAATTCTGTTTAAATTTACAGTGATTGAAAATTCCACTCTATCACTCAAATTTACAAGTAGAATTTAAGAACTTGAGGCAGGACGGGTAGAATGTTGCCTACACATTTGATTTAGAAGTTATCTATATATAAATCATTATAACATAGGACATGATTCTGTACAAGGCTATAAATACAAGGTTTATTTACCGTGTACCAGGGCGTACTCTTCTTCTTCCTGTCGCTCTTTTTCGAATCATCCTTTCCATCAGTAGTGACGTCAAGCGATGTTTCTGAGTATTTGTTCAGTATATTGTTCAACGAGGTCTCAAAACTCTTCTCGCCTAAATCCATACTTTGCTCAAACCCTTTCTGACTATCACTACTGTCCGTCGACTTCCTGGACGGTGTGCCGCCACGAACGGGACTTCCTGTGGCTCCACTCATGTCACTATCTGTCACATTGAACGTGATCCCAGAACTAGTGTCCTTGTTGTCATAACGACCGCTCGTGATTTCGGGCGAACCCTCTTTTGAGGTACTAGGCTGCGAAGCTGTCGACAATTTGCTGGCCAATGCACCGCTGCTTCTTCTGTCAAAGAAAAACATATTTAATAATATAATAACATGAAAAGTTCCAGTTTTGATCACTAAAATACAAATGCAATGCTTTTTGCAGTAAAATGTTTATGAAATTTAACGTTTCAGTTAACACACACTGTGAACACAAATGTTAAACTATACAATGTACACAAACTCTTGTGATAAGGAAAAACTTAAAATTGTAGCTATCAAACATTATATGAATACATCCCTGTTTTTTTGTTATTTACTGCTTTACAAAAATACATAAATTTTCAAAATCTCACATTATATTGCCTTGCGTAAGTGAGCCATTCCATTTTTTTTTTTATTTAATAATTATTATGCAAGTCATATGTGAATGATTGTATAGCTATTTATATGTAAATAAACATTTAAACTCAAATCACATGCTGTTTTGAATGGAAACTTTCACATCCTGTTATACACACAATTTTTAAGGCATAATTTCTGTATCTTTATACAGCATTTAATGAAAAAAATATATTCAAATGCTTAATCCATAAAGCACTAATGGTTAAATAATAACTTGCCTAAATACATCATTTTAGAGCTAGAGCTACCTAATAAAGCCTAAATAATTATATATGTTGTCAGTCTAACCCGAGACTCTAAAATGTAGCTTAAGTGAACAGTGCAGACCATGATAAGAGGGAAATAGATGTATCTGTTGATCTTGGTCTGCACTTGTGGCACACATAAAATATGTTGCTACATTAACTGGCCAAGAGTAAAGAAATTTTTTTCATACAGATTTCCATAAACTCACTAATGGACTTTTCCAAACTCAAAGCAAGGCAATTTCCATTATAAAAATATTTTAGTCCATACCTTTGCCTTTCAATATTATAATTTTTCTCATCCAAAAAGCCTCTTTTACATATACCGTTACATGGTTTTGAAAAAAAATAGCAGAATCTCCATTCAACGGTTTAATTTATATTATTGAAAAAAAAAGTTATATAATATATACACTGAAAACAAGCATTGATTCTTGATAATTTTCATGAGTGGAGTAGCCACAGGTCAAAAAGTAGCAGCTGCTGTTACTTGTTCATCATGTGACAGCTTATTTCATAAATAATCTACATGTAAATCTAATATATCCAACTATTATTACATTTTTCCAGTCCAAAGACATAATAAATGCATTATAAACTTTGTGATATCATTAGACCATATAAAAATGTCACAATGTCTATGACAAAAATATATTGCCCTGAGAAAGTGATCATTTTCCAGTACATTTTGGAATGATTCAAATTACGTGCTTACTAGAATGTATCTTTGCTTGCATGAACATTTTTACTTAATATCATGAAATTTATGACAGTATTTCACATGCAACTTGTCTGCATTAAAATATACAGTGATGTAGTTTGGCCTCAGAGAAAATATATTGTGAAACTATCAATATATATGTGGTATTTCATAATCTACCAAAAAAAGATGAAATTTAAATAAATTCTGATTTGATAACATATCATGACTATGAGTTTATCACAAAAATCTCTCCCTGATGCTTCCTGATGCTACTTTAATATTACACAGTGTTTCAGGAAGAATAGAAAAAATCTATTTTTGGAAAAAAGTAACCTTGACCCAATAAAACAAAAATGTAAATAAAGGGAGTAAACTGTATATAATTTCTTTCTTTTTTTAGTTAAAACTTAAACATATTTATTCAACTATGATAATGAAAAAAAAGTTATGGCAGAATTGTTACTTTTTAGTCTCCTTCCTGGACTTATAAGGTCATGACCTCAAGTAGGCTGCTCAAACGCACAATTCCTGGCTTAAAACATAAGACAGACACCTTAACCACAAAGCACTAACATTATTTTATCAAATTATAAATAAAATTATGATCTGACTGTGCCCTTATAATTATAAACTGTATCCACTTATTGTCTAAATATGATCCTTTTCTTTAATATACAATTGTACAATTATTACAATGTACATGTATAATATTTATGTGCCATGATAATCTCAAAAGAAGTTATTATGATGAAAAAAAAAAATCATTCCAACTTTTGCCGTAAAAAAAATGGCTTCCGAATATATATAATATTTACTCACATTTATCGAACTTTATTAAAGTCTGCACAACAATATTTACACAACAGTATTATAAATCCCATTTTCTATTTGCTATAGACATACAGTACACATACAAATGTATTTTGTATACATACAAATTATTGATCATGTCTAAAACCTGTGTAATAATGGTTGTATCATGAAATCCCACAACTTCATAGCTTTTGCAATATTAATATATAAATTTATTTTTTCATATTAAAATATTCAGTCAATAACGTAACAAGCTCGGCTGTATAAATTATGTATACATGCATCTCTGCAAGTTTATACTGATAACACTGTATCAAATGGATAAATAAAATCTAACCATCTGTCAATGATGGAAACTTCTTTTTTTCTTTTTTTTTGTGGCAAGTATTTTGATGATACAGTTTCTGCCAGCAGGCTAAATGTTTACTGACAAGTGCATATGTTACAACAACGTTGAATACAAGAGTACTTCATGCTGTGTTAACACCCCAGTTACACAGAGCCATCGGTGATTGATCGGTAGTTTTTTTAGCCAAATTATAGAGTGAACCGATGACAACGTATTTAACACCGATAACACCTATTGGTCACCTGTTTTCCACCTATCAACTGCTATTGGGGAAAGATAAGTTTCATCGGTGAAAAATTACCGATTGGGATTTTTAAACATGTTTAAAATTCTCGATCGGTGAAAATATTTTACAAATAACCGACAGCAACCTACTGTATATCACGAGATATGCAAGCTCTTAATCACCGATATCACCGATCGGACAAAGATAACCAAATATGAATCACCGGCCATATCTGACGGAAAGTGTTTTACCACTGATGACTAGCTATCAAACACCGATTAATCAGCGTTACGCCCGATTTAGCTCCGATTTACAAACGATAAAAATCGATAGTATTTCAGCATTTAATCATCGACCCAACCCGTTTGAGTTGGCTTTCTGTCACCGATGGCCGTTTACACAGAAAACCAGAAATAAAATCATGCATGACAACCGATCATAACAGCGAGTAAATTTAAAATTAAATGACCGATTGGGGACCGACCGTCTGTGTAACTGGCCCCTAACCGCTTGTCTGTTAACACATTACTTCATGAGCATTTTGTGAAAAATGGCTGTTTTCATTGAAAAGTCTCCCAATCAAGTTCAAATTGCTATAATACTATAAAAACTGCTTCAACACTAATCAAACTTGGCACAAATGTTGACTGGACCATTGCCCTTGCAACAACATGCTCATGCTCAAAATTGCCAAAAATCACTATTTTGCGTTGATTTTTTCCATCAAAATTGATTTCAAAGTGTTGCAACTTCTCAATGAATTGAGATAGAGTGAAATGCTTTTCAGTGTTGGTTACACGTTACCTTATGATCAATCTGGGGTAATTTATAGCCTCTCACAAGTCCAAAATTTTCTTGGTTGGGGGGCCGTGCCGAAAAAGTGGTCACTTTTTTTAACAACATTTCTCAAACAAAAACAAGAGTTGGAGGCCTAAATAAGGCGTTTTTTCACCATTTGAGACAACAAAAAGGGGGGGGGATGAAAAATTGGCGTTAAAAGGCGTGTATATCGCGTAATGGGTTAAAATAGCTACTTTGACCAAAAATTTTAAGTTTAAAAGGGGCACAACTCCAACAAGATTGCATTTGAGAAAAATGCTATGCCACCGCATTAATACAACACTAAATAGTAGTGTAGGAACAGATATTTTTTGTTTCTATACAATTGAAGATTGTCATAATGCATAGATCCCTGACCTATCTAATTCTTATCATCAGATTAGTGGTTGAATCTATTGTTAATCCAATAAAAGATCAGAGTAGGAATATATCAATGCACTTGACATGCTTGAGTCTGGTGAATTTGGTGGTGAAGGTAATATTTTCACACAGCCTAAATTTCATGACTCTATTAATGGACAACACAGTAAGACACTTTGTTAAAATCTAAATCCAGCTGATATCAAAGTTCACTTTACATCTTAATCTGTGCACATGGTTCAAATTTCATAGCTGTACCCCGTCCCTAGATTTGCCACTAAAATGCCACCCTTTTCAATGGTGGAGTATTTAGACAATTTTCCACCAATAATGCCACCAAAACGCCACCAAAACGCCACCCAAATCATGAAAATGGTGAAAAATTTGAGCAGGACTGATGTTATATAATTTGCCAGTTAATTCCACTTTTTTTACACTAAATGCCACCAATGAGTGGAAAATTGGTGGAGTATTTAGACAAACTTTCACCATAATGCCACCATTATGCCACCTTAGGGTGGCAAACTCATTTTCCACTAGATGCCACTTGTTTCCACTTATTGCCACCATAATGGTGGAAAATTGGTGGAGTATTTAGACAAATTTCCACCATTATGCCACCATTGAGTGGCAAACTTATTTTCCACCAAATGCCACTTATTTCCACCTTTTGCCACCATAAGGGTGGAAAATTGGTGGAGTATTTAGACACTTTTCCACCATTTTGCCACCAGATAGTGGCAAATTCAGTTTCCACTAAATGCTACCTATTTTCACCCTTTCAGAAATTTTCCACCTTGTGGGTGGCAATAGCTGGAAACTGCTTGAAAGTCACCCTGTACCCTAAATTGGAAACAAACAAATTTTAAAAATAATCCTTTTTAATGTTTCCATATGAAATTATATATTGTCATAAAAAATAGCAAAACATTAGTCCATTTATTTTCTTCAGTTTATCTTGCTATTCCTGCCCGGTTTGAGTTCAGTCCTTTAGGTTGTCGGCAACTTTTCGAGCGCACAATCTAAAACAAAAAAAATTATGAATGATTAATACAATAATTAAAAACATAAGCTTACATTTTTATATGACTATTGGATATTTCTATATTCAATTTGAGTGCATAGATATGATTAAAAC